AGTAAGTTATCTATCATGGCCATTTCATTCTAGGCGACAAGAAACCTTATAAATAAATTAGTGGAGAAAGTACATAGCCAAAAGACAATGATATCGTCTCTTGATATAGCGAAAATAGTGACCTGGGAGATGACAGCCCAGGGGGGGAGGGGGTTGGTTTGAGATAGGGTATGTTTTTCCCTCTGGCTTGGCATGGGTATTTTGTTTATGAAGAACTTTTTTTTTTTCAAAAATTATTGGCAAATTTGTAGCCCTTCTACAATGTTTATACAAATGGAGCCACTTCTGGTAAACCGCAGTCATATATCAGAGCTCTGTAGTTATTTTAGAGGTCTGAAATGGAATATCGATATTTGGCTCAGGTCTGAAATAAGGTATGGAAAATTATTGCCCACCCCTTTGTTTGGTCAAGATGGCTGGATATTGGCCTGGTTCATTTTTGGGGGTATTTATGGTCCTCGACTCCATCTCAGCCAATAAACGAGCAAACTAGAACTTGGCCAATATCCAGCCATCTTGACCTCACGCTTGGTCAATAATCCAAATGTATCATGGAAGCGAGGTCTATTTGACAATGGGACTGACTAAAGGATTCATGGCAGGCTCTTGATGAGATAATAGTGGTTTTATGCACGCCAGCAGAGGAGGCAGTGTGGTTGAGTGGTTTACGGCGCTGGTGTTGTAATCTGGAGATCCCGGGTTCAAGGTTTCCACCCTGCCACTAGCGGGATTTGTTTCTCGGTAGTCCCAAGTTCAAATCCTTGGTCACGCTTTACAAATAGCTGACTGATCTGCCCCCTCCAGTTGGGATTTTTAACTATGTTACGTTTATTTGAAATATTTGTTTCCTTTGTTTCAGTGGCATGCCCGTAAACTAGCTAAGCTTAGTGCTTGTATAGCTAAGCACATGACCACTAGAAATAAGATTTACATTTTACATTTACATTACAGCTGTACAAAATTTGCCTTGAGAGTGTCAGTGTTACCAAAGAGAAGCTTTGTATAACTTCCACTCTATATATGATACACCTCTTCAATGTACATGCAGGAATTGTAACAGTGTTTTTTAAGTGCTCTAACTTCCAGAGGAAGAAGGGAAACTGTTAAATGCAAGCTGATTGGGTTTATTACTTT